CCGCTTCGCCTCCTTCTTTCGGCCCCGCACCGATTCTTCCTCGCTGGAGGTGAAACCTCCTGCCGCGCAGCCGGGCCGGCCTCACTTCCGGAGCCCTTAAGGGTCCCGTCCGTCACCGTCCTAGCTCCTTCCCTCGGAGACCCGTCACGCGAGCTCTTCCGACTTCCCACTTCGTTCTCTACGTTTAATTTTAAATTCGAATCCATAGTGGTCCCACGAGTAGCTAAGGAACTACACGGTCCGCCCACGCAGAGCCCCGCATGCGTGGGTAAGGCTGGATACTCTGGGGTTTCGCCGGGTTCCCCAGAGGCATCGTTCGCGACACTGCTCCCCCAGTGACATGCAGCCATCGCCACGATGGCTTACAACTTGGCTTGGGGAGCTGGTCCGCGGCAACGGTCTTCCTTTACCCTCCACAGGGTTTTACTTCCGTGAGGCTAGGTTATAATCGCCACTATCCAGCAGCACTAAGTCCCCTCAGAAAACTCACACCTACTGGGCATCCTTCTATCCGCCACCTGGAGACGCGCCCGGTGGGTAGCTCAACCTCCGGGAAAGTTATACTAACAATTATACACATAACTTAAGGCTCATGTTGCTGTAGCCGAAAACTCCGCGTTGACGGTGGCGACATAGTTGCGGTAGGAATAAGAACCCAGTCCAACTTACCCAGCCAACTTACCGCATAAATAAATTGTGTAACCAATTGGTCAAACAGTTTATCAGTAAAAGTAAATAACTATTATTGTCAATAACATTAAGCGTGATATTAAATGATATCATGTAAATGTAAAGTTTTACTGAATAACATAAAAAGTTCTAAAATTGAAAAAATTTTCCTACACTCCCAGACATCACATGATATAATCTGAATATTCTGACAATCTACGATATATTCGAAGAATATACGGCATATTCTCAGAATATCTCACGAATATCCGAAAAATAATATTTTGTTCCATATATTTTCTGGATATCCCCGGAATATCTTAAAAATAATATTCAATGCGAGATATTTTCAGAATGTCCTACGGATATCCGCTTGAAGGCAACGCGTTTCTTTAAGGCCAATCAGTCAGTCGGTGTTTCACTGTGATTCACTATGTTTCACTGTGACAGATGAGAATCAGCAGTAGCGATTGACAGTCGGGTCAGCCTTTGCAGTCGGTAGTCTGATACGGATTTACGGTTACGACTAAATAAACTCTTTAACGTGCAATGGCCTTTTATACAGAGTGTTCCCGGGTTAAATGGCCAAACTTGAAATACGTATTTAGGACCTCAAAACAAAGAAAAATTTCCTTTGAAAGAATGCTCGCAATCGAACTCTGAAGGAATAACGACCGGAATGGGAGAATAGACATGACAAGGTGATTTTACAGCATGACAACGCCAGACCACATGTTCATGTATCCGTCAAGAATTATCTAGAAGGAGTGAACTGGGAGATTCTACCTCACCCGCCGTATTCACCAGACATTGTTCGTTCAAATTACTATTTGTTTTGGTCCATGGCGTTAGCTCTTTCTGGAGAGCGGTTCAATTCTTATGAAGAAATCAAAAATTGCCTTGATAACTGGACCGCTTCAAAATAACCAGACTTCTACCAGCGTGGAATCCGTTTATTGCCCAAAAGATGGATCAAGATTGTAGCTTCTGATGGAGCATACTTTGAATAAAATAAAAATGATTTTTATGTTCCAAATCAATGTGTTTTTTTATCCAAAAATCCGTAGTCATACTTGTACACTCAATATTATATAAAGAAAATTTGAAAAGGGCTTGAAAGTACAACGCGGTTAGTGGTGCATGAGTAAATGTAAAATAAGTTTATTAAAAATTAATCACAATAAGTATGTTTCAGCTCTACTTTGAATCATCTTCAGTCTCAATATTAAAAATTAAAATATCGGCATTTCTCACATTTTCCGTTGAATTATCAGATGAATGTTTGTAACAAATTTACGTGTTATTATTTTCAACACGTTAAACGCTGGACAAAAGATCCAGTCCAATTATAAATCTTTTGTCCAATATTAAACTAGTTGGAAATAATGACACCTAATTTTGTTGTACTCAAGCCTTTTCCAAATTTTCTTTACATAATCTTGTTTATGTTTTTTTTTTTTGCGTAGGCTATTTGTGATCATAAGTGTAGATTTATTCATTGTTATATTGGGCATGTTGAATCCGTTTATGATCAACGAGTATTCCATCAATCTGAAGTACAAAGTTATTTTGAAGATGAAACAAAATTTCCACAAGATAGTCATTTAGTCGGTGACTTGGCTTATAAATTACATCAACATTTACTGGTACCATATCGAGATAATAGCCACTTGACACCACGCCAACGAAATTATAACTTCTGTTACGCTTCAACAAGAGTGGTTATCGAGAGAGCATTTGGATTGCTAAAAGGAAGATTCCGAAGTCTTTTAACTATATTTGCAATGAATCGAGTCAATTTAATTCCAATTCACATTCTTGCTTGTTGCATATTACATAACATTTGTTTAATGAGAGGTGACGACTTAAATATTAAAATAAAGGAAGATGTAGAAGATGTGATTAATGCGGTGCACAATGCTGAAAATGTTCATAATGTAGGTGCTACCAAAAGAGATTTGATATGCGAAACATTACGAATTAGACATGTGTTACTAAAAAAATTTGACAAATGTAAATTACTTTTACTGTTTTCTTTTATTAAAAAAAATGTAAACAATTACACTTTATAAAAAATATATTTTATTTTAAATAAACGTCTTATTCATTATTCCTATATAACTCATAATAATTTTTAAATATATTTTAAATATCTCTTATATGTGGTGGTGATTATGAAAGTGGACTAAATCAAAAATTTTGATGATTTTTTATTTTGAGATATTTCGACTTTATAGATCGATATAACACAAAATAAGTGATAAATCAATTTTAAAAAATGTTTGACTTAGCTCATTTTCATAATCACCGGCACATATAATACTATATAATCTTATATAAAACTATATCTCTTATATGCTATATCTCATTTATAACTCTTATCTAATACATATATTATTAATTGTTTAAAATATTTGAGCGCCATAATTAAAACGTAATAACAAACTTGACATCTTACAGTTTATCTAGAAATTTATCAAGTTTCTCTAATAACTTTTCTTTCGCCTCCATTCTCTCAATATGTCTTTTCTTTCTCTCTTCTTCAATTTTTCGAATTTCTAATATTGCGTCTGCAACTTTCATGGTCTTACATTTACTTGCAAATTACAAATGTACTCACATTTTTTAGAATTTACTATTTAAAGGTTTGTGTCTTTTGTAAGAACTCGGATTTGAGTAACAAAAGCACTAATTCAAATTACAATGAGTAAATTACATGTTGACTTACAAGATACGCTATTATCCACGTCTAAAGCGTTGTCACATGTACCACTGCTGCTAGATAAGCTTGACATGGAGCTTAAACTTGCCGGTTTAGACTTTGATGTTTCTGCACTAGTTGAAGAAATTGTCGCTAAAGGCATCATATACGGCTTCTCACCAAGAAATCTTTTCATCACCTGAAGTTTATACAATATCATAAACTTCGTCGTAATAAAAGGTGGTCTATTCTATACATTATATACTTACCTCTAAATATTTCCACGATCGCTTATCATTGCCCGACTTTCTGTTATGGTCTCTTACAGCTTTGTACATCTTTTTCATTATATTTACTCGAGTGGTGCATTGTCTGCTTGTAACCATATATCCTTAACTATGCATCATCTGAGCAATTTGATCCCATGCTTTTTTATGGCTGATTTTTCCTTGTTCTGTTCCTGCTTTCTATATTCTTCTAGTAAAAGCATAACTGCTTCATGAGGCCATCTAAAGTTTGTTGTCCCCAAGTCTTTGTAAACGAAGATATTATAATATATGATGTTAGATTCATGAAATGTGACTGCAAACAATATCAAAAATTTACTTACTATCCACTAATTCTTTGTCCATGTGTGAACTAGTTTCTGTAGTTCTGTAGTTTTCTTCAATATCTATAGGTAAATAGGCCAAGGATGTTGAAGAAGACGCTGCAATGTCAGTTTCAACACCTGCAAAAAGATGCATGTTTTTATGTATAAAATATAAAATATGTATAAAAATATTATGTATTACAGTTAAAAAAAAAAGTAAAGTTTTTAAAAAGTACTAAAAAAATTACAAACCAAGTATTTCATTCCTGAAAGGAACGCTATCTGAGGCACAAGTGGACAGTGTCTCTACATTAGGGATTCCTAGAAGAAAGTGACTCGTTAAGAAAGAAAGTACCAATCAATTTTATGAAGAACTGCCAAATACGGTCAGGCTGGATTTTTTCGTCTAATAATATTTTTTGCGTGAATTTGAGGTACAATTCTTGCTTTGTAAAATAACGCACCATTACTTTCGGACTTAAAATATAGTCTAAAGCTAAAACGAGAATAGTACGATCACATAATTCAATTGATAATTAATTTCATAATCTCGATACGAATACCCAAGTAATTCTACTATTCTCGTTTTAGCTTTAGACCAGACATGTCCAAACGCCGACTCCGGAGCCAAAGTGGAGAGCGAGAATTTCCCCCTCTCCAGATGCTTGCCGCTCGACTGTCAGCGTGAGGTGCAGTGCGGGGAAAAGAGCCGCCGATCCCTACTATCCCTACTTCTTCGAAGTCTCGTGTTCCTTCCTTGCACTTCACTAACAAGTGAAAAGCCTGATCGAACAGTGAAGGAGTATAGATAGTATAACCCGAAACTGTTCTTACGACCTTTGTATTAAATTGGATAATCTGTTAATAAACATAACTATTTCTTTTATATTTTATTTTTTAAATATCATTATTTTAAATATCATCATTTTTGTAATTTTCTTAATTTTTTTTCAGGATTATCGACTTTTTTTTTTACTATAATATTTTTGTTTCTTTTTCTTTCATAATGTCAAAAAAATTAGCTTTAAGTAAAAAAGATATTTCCCAATTTAAAAATAAATGGGAGCTTAAATTTTTAGTGATTAAAAATAATTTTGAAAAACCACAGTGCGCTGTGTGCAGTTTTATTTTTAATGCACCGAAACATTCAAACGTAAAACGACACTACGAGCGACGTCATAAGTCGACTTATGATCTTTACTCTCAAGACAAAAAGATTGCTTTAATTAATAATTTTAAATTGAATTTGCCAACACATACAAATGATGTTGAACTTCCTTCAACTTCAAACGCTTCATTTTCTTCTTCGTGTCTTGAAGCTTCATTCGAGGTGTCGTTGGAAATTGCGCGAAATGGCAAAAGTTACACTGACGGAAATTATATCAAAT